AGAGAGAAGTGTAAAGGAGAGAGAGAGATTCTGGGAAATGTTGAGTGAATGCGTGGGGAGTTTTGAACCAAGTGTGAGAGTAATGGTGGTTGGGGATTTCAATGCTAAAGTGGGCAAAAATGTTGTAGAGGGAGTAGTAGGTATTTTTGGGGTGCCAGGGGTAAATGAAAATGGGGAGCCTTTAATTGAGCTATGTGTAGATAGAGGTTTGGTAATAAGTAATACATATTTTATGAAGAAGAGGATAAATAAATATACAAGGTATGATATAGCACGTAATGAAAGTAGTTTGTTAGATTATGTATTGGTGGATAAAAGGTTGATGGGTAGGCTGCAGGATGTACACGTTTATAGAGGGGCAACTGATATATCAGATCATTATTTAGTTGTAGCTGCAGTTAGAGTAAGAGGTAGATGGGAAAAGAGGAAGGTGGCAACAACAAGTAAGAGGGAGGTGAAAGTGTATAAACTAAGGGAGGAGGAAGTTCGAGTGAGATATAAGCAACTATTGGCAGAAAGGTGGGCTGGTGCAAGTATGAGTAGTGGGGGAGTTGAAGAGGGTTGGAATAGTTTTAAAAATGCAGTATTTAGAATGTGAGGCAGAAGTTTGTGGTTATAGGAGAGTGGGTGCAGGAGGAATGAGGAGTGATTGGTGGAATGAAGAAGTAAAGGGTGTGATAAAAGAGAAAAAGTTAGCTTATGAGAGGTTTTTACAAAGCAGAAGTGTTATAAGAAGAGTAGAGTATATGGAGAGTAAAAGAAAAGTGAAGAGAGTGGTGAGAGAGCAGATGATAGAGTGGGAAAGGCACTGTCAAGGAATTTTAATGAAAATAAGAAAAAATTTTTGGAGTGAGTTAAACAAGTTAAGCAAGCCTAAAGAAGGAATGGATTTATCAGTTAAAAACAGAGTAGGGGAGTTAGTAGATGGGGAGATGGAGGTTTTGGGTAGATGGCGAGAATATTTTGAGGAACTTTTAAATGTTGACGAAGAAAGGGAAGCGGTAATTTCATGCACTGGCCAGGGAGGTATACCATCTTTTAGGAGTGAAGAACAGGATGTGAGTGTGGGGGAGGTGCATGAGGCATTACGTAGAATGAAAGGGGGGTAAAGCAGCTGGAAGTGATGGGATCATGACAGAAATGTTAATAGCAGGGGGGGATATAGTGTTGGAGTGGTTGGTATTTTTGTTTAGTAAATGTATGAAAGAGGGGAAGGTACCTAGGGATTGGCAGAGAGCATGTATAGCCCCTTTATATAAAGGGAAGGGGGACAAAAGAGATTGTAAGAATTATAGAGGAATAAGTTTACTGAGTATACCAGGAAAAGTGTTCGGTAGGGTTATAACTGAAAGAATTAGAGGTAAGACAGAATGTAGGATTGCGGATGAGCAAGGAGGTTTCAGAGTGGGTAGGGGATGTGTAGATCAAGTGTTTACATTGAGGCATATATGTGAACAGTATTTAGATAAAGGTAGGGAAGTTTTTATTGCATTTATGGATTTAGAAAAGGCATATGATAGAGTGGATAGAGGAGCAATGTGGCAGATGTTGCGAGTATATGGAATAGGTGGTAAGTTACTAAATGCTGTAAAGAGTTTTTATGAGGATAGTGAGGTTCAGGTTAGGGTGTGTAGAAGAGAGGGAGACTACTTCCCAGTAAAAGTAAGTCGTAGACAAGAATATGTAATGTCACCATGGTTGTTTAATATACATATGTATTTATAGATGGGGTTGTAAAAGAAGTAAATGCTAGGGTGTTCGGGAGAGGGGTGGGATTAAATTATGGGGAATGAAATACAAAATGGGAATTGACACAGTTGCTTTTTGCTGATGACACTGTGCTCATGGGAGATTCTAAAGAAAAACTGCAAAGGTTAGTGGATGAGTTTGGGAGTGTGTGTAAAGGTAGAAAGTTGAAAGTGAACATAGAAAAGCGTAAGGTGATGAGGGTATCAAATGATTTAGATAAAGAGAAATTGGATACCAAATTGGGGAGTAGTAGTATGGAAGAAGTGAATGTTTTCAGATACTTGGGAGTTGGCGGATGGATTTATGAAGGATGAGGTTAATCATAGAATTGATGAGGGAAAAAAGGCGAGTGGTGCATTGAGGTATATGTGGAGACAAAAAACGTTATCATTGGAGGCAAAGAAGGGAATGTATGAAAGTATAGTAGTACCAACACTCTTATATGGGTGTGAGGCTTGGGTTGTGAATGCAGTAGCGAGGAGGCGGTTGGAGGCAGTGGAGATGTCCTGTCTAAGGGCAGTGTGTGGTGTAAATATTATGCAGAAAATTCGGAGTGTGGAAATTAGGAGGTGTGGAGTTAATAAAAGTATTAGTCAGAGGGCTGAAGAGGGGTTGTTGAGGTGGTTTATCATTTAGAGACAATGGGTCAAAGTAGAATGACATGGAGAGCGTATAAATCTGTAGGGGAAGGAAGGCGGGGTAGGGGTCGTCCTTGAAAAGGTTGGAGGGAGGGGGTAAAGGAGGTTTTGTGGGCGAGGGGCTTGGACTTCCAGCAAGCATGCGTGAGCGTGTTAGGTAGGAGTGAATGGAGACGAATGGTATTTGGGACCTGACGATCTGTTGGAGTGTGAGCAGGGTAATATTTAGTGAAGGGATTCAGGGAAACCGGTTATTTTTATACAGCCGGACTTGAGTCCTGGAAATGGGAAGTACAATGCCTGCACTCTAAAGGAGGGGTTCAGGATATTAGCAGTTTGGAGGGATATGTTGTGTATCTTTATAGGTATATGCTTCTAAACTGTTGTGTTCTGAGCACCTCTGCAAAAACAGTGATTATGTGTGAGTGAGGTGAAAGTATTTTCTTTTTGGGGATTTTCTTTCTTTTTTGGGTCACCCTGCCTTGGTGGGAGACTGCCGACTTGTTAAAAAAAAAAAAAATTGGGAAGTTCTGATTTGGCAACAGTTTTAGATAAGTGGAACAGATTCCCAGGTAGCCATTTGAGGCAAGAACTATAGGTAGCTTTAAATACAGGTCCCCCTCAACATTAGCGTTTTCAACTTTCACGGGCTTCGCACATTCACGAATTCCCAACTGCCAAATCCCCTGCCTCCAAATCATATTTAAGTTTCCCGCCACCTGCGAGTCCCTACTACCCTCCCTCCGACCCCTGCAACTGGCAGCCAGCCCTCCCATCAGTGTGGTAAGTGTTTTGTTTGTTCATTATTTGCTGTTAAACTACAGTATAAATAATGTAAACCCATTCATAACTGCATATTGGAATGGCCATTCGGACAAGTATTGGACGGTGACATCATGTGTTTACTCTTGAACACAGCAAAGAATCAAACATTTCTGCTACTGCTAATAATAATAACAACAATAATAAATACAATAGAATTGAAGAAGGAAATTGTACAAAAATACGAGGGAGTGGGTGACACATCATCAGTGTGGCTTTGTTTATGCTGGAGTGAGCATTAGTCTCCGTGCTCTTCCAAACATTTCGCAATAATTCACTGTATTTGGTGCTTGTAGTTTGAGTGCGACTGGAGTGGTAGAGGCAGTGGTTGAGGAAGCGGTTGAGGCAGTGGTTGAGGCAGCGGTTGAGGCAATGGTATAGGCAGCAGTTGAGGCAGTGGTTGAGGCAGCAGTTGAGGCAGTGGTTGAGGCAGTGGTATTTAATAACATACATGTTATTAATAATAATAATAATAATAATACATGTTATTAATAATATGTACTATTATTATTTATAACATATACAGTGGACCCCCGCATAACGATTACCTCCGAATGCAACCAATTATGTAAGTGTATTTATGTAAGTGCATTTGTACGTGTATGTTTGGGGGTCTGAAATGGACTAATCTACTTCACAATATTCCTTATGGGAACAAATTCGGTCAGTACTGGCACCTGAACATACTTCTGGAGTGAAAAAATATCGTTAACTGGGGGTCCACTGTATGTTATTAAATACCACTGCCTCAACTGCTGCCTCTTCCATTGCCTCAACCGCTGCCTCTACCATTGCGTCAACCGCTGCCTCAACCGCTGCCTCAACCGCTGCCTCAACCGCTGCCTCAACCGCTGCCTCACCCACTGCCTCACCCACTGCCTCAACTGCTTCCTCAACTGCTTCCTCAACCACTCCAGTCGCACTCAATCTACAAGCACCAAACACGATGAATTATTGTGAAATGTTTGGAAGAGCATGGAGACTAATGCTCACTCCAGCATAAACAAAGCCACACTGACGATGTGTCAACCACTCCATCGTATTTTTGTACAATTTCCTTTTTCAGTTCTATAGTACATGCATGTATTTGTTGTTATTATTATTATTATTACTATTATTATTACTATTGTTATTATTAGCAGTAGCAGAAATGTTTGATTCTTTGCTGTGTTCAAGAGTAAACACATGATGTCACTGTCCAATACCTGTCCGAATAGCCATTCCAATATGCAGTTATGAATGGGTTTACATTATTTATACTGTAGTTTAATAGCAAATAATGAACAAACAAAACACTCACCACACTGAGTGGTGGGAGGGCTGGCTGCCAGTTGCGGGGTCGGAGGGAGGGTAGTAGGGACTCGCAGTGGTGGAGGCAGTGGTATTTAATAACATACATGTTATTAAACCATAACATGCATGTATTTAGTACAATTTATGACATTTTCATGTATTTTATGATTGTTCATGGTTCAACAAGTTAAGGAAGCAGTATTGTATTATATTTCCCTACAATATATTGGGGCACCAAACATTCGTGATTTTTCAACATTCGCGAGGCTCATGATCCCCTAACCCTCGCGAATGTTGAGGGAGACCTGTATAGGTTGGACAGATACACAAGTGGATGTGGGTGAGTGAATTGGACCTGCCTAGCATGAGCCAGTAGGCCTGCTGCAGTGTTCATTCTTATGTCTATAATATTATACATACATATATGTACATTTAGTACATATGCCTATGTATATATGATGTACATTTAGTAAAACAATGTTTTTTAAACACTGACAGTGGCGTGTGCCCCAGGGATGCACCATAATAGGCACCACCAACAGCAACAATGTTCTCCATGCCCAGTGGGAACATACTCTCACAAATACTCAAGGTAAGAATTTATTTATTTATTTATTTGAACATGATACATAGAAGTACAAAAAAATACAGTGGTTAAGTGTAACATGCCAAAGCCCCTTGTATGCAGAGCATTATGGGCAGGCTTAAAATTAACTTAAGATTAACTAAGCAATGATATATTCAGTGGTAAACATTATTGTAAACAGATAACAATTAAGCACAAATGAGTATTTCAAAGACAGGTCATATTTTCATTTACTGTGTTGCTGTGCATTCAGTAGAATGGAGTATTCTGTTAGGTAATGTAATTAAAAATAACAAAGTTTGATTGGGTCACAGGTTAAACATTTATGAGGTACAATTATTCATTATTTATTTAATTGTGGGTGAGCAAGTGATTTTTAAGTAGAGACGTGAATTTATAAACCGACAGTGTTTCTTTTATATTCACAGGTAATGAATTCCAGATTTTTGGATGATATTTTTGATATTAATGATATTTTTGGTTAAGAACTCAAATTAAGGTTTGAAATTCTCCTTGCCACCTCCCAGACAGCAGCAGCAATTGATATTCTGTAAATACATCACTAAATGTAACCTTTGTGAGGTTTTACTTCTGACACTCATGTTAGTTCCCAAAAAAGTATAATTCATGATAACATCTACCACTTCTGTATACTTCTGACAAGACAGTTATTGAATGAGTGATGGTGAATTTTTTTTTATTTTTTTTTGGGGGGGGGAGGGAGGGGTTGTCTCTCCAGGTAAACTCCAGGCTGGTGGAAAACAACTGGTGTGTTTAAAAACAAATCTACCACAGCTTATTAAATTTGAGGAAAAATAGTACTTTATATATGTATTTTGTAAGTGTTGCTAATGCTATTTGTTATTGCGTAAATATGAAGTCTGAGCATGTTAGATAGGAGTGAATGGAGACGAATGGTTTTTGGAACGTGACGAGCTGTTGGAGTGTGAGCGGGGTAATATTTTGTGAAGGGGTTCAGGGAAACCAGTTAGCTGGACTTGAGTCCTGGAGGTGGGAAGTACAATGCCTGCACTTTAAAGGAAGGATTTGAGATGTTTGGAGTGACATAAATTGTCATATCTGGGCACCTCTGCAAAGACAATGATTATGTGTGAATGATGGTAAAAGTGTTTCTTTGTTTCTTGGGTCACCCGAAAATAATTTTTTTTTTTTTTTTTTTTTTTTTTTTTTTTTTTTTTTAACAAGTCAGGCATCTCCCACCAAGGCAGGGTGACCCAAAAAAGAAAGAAAATCCCCAAAAAGAAACTACTTTCATCATCATTCAACACTTTCACCTCACACATAATCACTGTTTTTGCAGAGGTGTCCAGAATACAACAGTTTAGAAGCATATACGTATAAAGATACACAACATATCCCTCCAAACTACTAATATCCCAAACCCCTCCTTTAAAGTGCAGGCATTGTACTTCCCATTTCCAGGACTCAAGTCCGGCTATATAAAAATAACCGGTTTCCCTGAATCCCTTCACTAAATATTACCCTGCTCACACTCCAACAGCTCGTCAGGTCCCAAATACCATTAGTCTCCATTCACTCCTATCTAACACGCTCACGCATGCTTGCTGGAAGTCCAACCCCTCGCCCACAAAACTTCCTTTACCCCCTCCCTCCAACCTTTTCGAGGACGACCCCTACCCCACCTTCCTTCCCCTACAGATTTATACGCTCTCCATGTGATTCTACTTTGATCCATTCTCTCTAAATGACCAAACCACATCAACAACCCCTCTTCAGCCCTCTGACTAATACTTTTATTAGCTCCACACACTGAATTTTCTGCATAATATTCACACCACACACACACACACACACACACCCACACATATATATTTCTTCTTTCTTTCAACACACTGGCCGTATCCCACCAAGGCGGGGTGGCCCAAAAGGAGAAACGAAAGTTTCTCATTGTACATTTAGTAATATATACTGGAGAACAGGTTACTAGCCCCTTGCTCCCAGCATTTTAGCCGCCTCTTACAACATGCATGGCTTACGGTGGAAGAATTCTGTTCCACTTCCCCATGGAGATAAGAGGAAATAAACAAGAACAAGAACTAGAAAGAAAATAGAAGAAAACCCAGAGGGGTGTGTATATATATGTTTGTACATGTATGTGTAGTGTAACCTAAGTGTAAATAGAAGTAGCAAGACATACCTAAAATCTTGCATGTTTATGAGACAGACAAAAGACACCAGCAATCCTACCATCATGTAAAACTATTACAGTCTTTCGTTTTACACTTGCTTGGCAGAACAGTAGTACCTCCCTGGGCAGTTGTTGTCTACCAACCTACTACCTATAACACACACATATATATATATATTCTAGGTAGTAGGTTGGTAGACAGCAACTGCCCAGGGAGGTACTACCCTCCTGCCAAGTGAGTGTAAAATGGAAGCCTGTAATTATTTTACATGATGGTAGGATTGCTGGTGTCCTTTTTTCTGTCTCGTAAACATGCAAGATTTCAGGTACGTCTTGCTACTTCTACTTACACTTAGGTCACACTACACATACATGGATTTTTTTCTATTTTCTTACTAGTTCTTGTTCTTGTTTATTTCCTCTTACCTCCATGGGGAAGTGGAACAGAATTCTTCTTCCGTAAGCCATGCGTGTTATAAGAGGCGACTAAAATGCCGGGAGCAAGGGGCTAGTAACCCCTTCTCCTGTATATATTACTAAATGTAAAGGGAGAAACTTTCATTTTTCCTTTTGGGCCACCCCGCCTTGGTGGGATACGGCCGGTGTGTTGAAAAAAAGAAAGATATTTATTTATTTATTTATTTCTACCTGTAGATTGGGTCATTAATAATAAGAGGTTCATATAATGATGATGAACAGGAAATGAACCCAATTCTAAAAAAATAATGTTCAGCAACCCACTAACTGAAAGCAGGGCAGAAAATGCAGAAATATTTTTCATTCCATCTGAAGGCCATGCAGATCAACTAACAGAACTAATCCCATAGAATTCGAAAAATAAATTGAAAACATTCCTGCTCATTCAGCACCTGGACCAGATTCATGGAATTCCTTATTTATAGGAAATTGAAAGTACCTCTAGCTCTCAATACTCTTAGGAGAAAGAGGTTAAATACCAGAGACCTTAAAGAGTGCAGACATAGCTAGGGAGGTAGAGCATTAACCAAAAATTACAAATCATTAGTTCTACCATCCCACACCATAAAAGTCTTTGAAAGTGATGAAATGCCAAACTAAAAACTATGGAACAATGCAGTCTGCATAACCTAAACCATCACAGTTTTAGAACTGAAAGTTCATGCTTGTCACAACTGTTAAACTACTGTTGACAATTATGGAGGCATTGGAAGACAACCAAAATGGAGATGTGATATACACAGATTTTGCAAAGGCATTTGACAAATGTAATCATGGGGTAATTACACACAAAATGAGGGCCATAGGCATAACAGGGAAGGGAGGCAGATGGATTTTCAGGTTTATAATACATAGAGATTAGATGTGGAGTCACCAAAAGTATTATTTAGAGGGCCGAGGAGGGGTTGTTGAGGTGGTTAGGACATTTAGAGAGGTTGGAGAAGAATAGAGCTTATAAATCTTTGGTGAAGAGAAGGAGGGGTAGGGGTTGTTCTAGGAAAGGTTGGAGGGAGGGGATAAAGGAGGTTTTGAGTGTTAGGGGCTTGGACATGCAAAAGGCTTGTGTGAGTGTGTTAGATAATTGTGGATTTCGTGATTTGACGTGAGCAAGGTAACTTATGAAAGGATTCAGGGAAACTGTTAGCCAGACAATGCCTACATTCTGGAGGAAGGGTGGGGATGTTGCAGTTTGGAAGGTTATCTGAATTGTGATGTCGGCACACTATTAGCAAGACAGTGATTAAATGAGTGACAGTGAAACATTTTTCTTTGTTGGGGTTGCCCTACCTCAGCTGAAGATAGCCAGTGTTAAAAAAATTAAATACTAGATTTTATTTGCAATGGGGAGAAACTAATAACCCATTTAAAAAAAGGCTTTCAGTAGTGGGGCTCTGAGCAAGTCATTATTAGGGGTTTCAGTAATTCTAGGCAGACATTCATATCACCCTAGCCATTTAACTTTTATACATTTTCATTGTTACCAGGAATCTCATGCGAGAATAATGTACTGAAGAAAAAAGTAAAAGTCTTCCGTCTACATTCCACTTGTACTCTACTCGGTATTATAATACATTAGCATATTAACAGGTCATTTACTTAAGAGAGTATATTTTTTAGTGAAATTCCTAGGGTCAACAGAGGTTTATTAACCAAAGGTAATTGTAAGAAAGGTTTTGGTTATGTTCAATGTAATTTTTTATAAGATTGTGATACAGTACTCTTATTTTTTTTACAGTAAATGGTGTGAACAGTGTGGTAATGGGGGTACGACAGTCGAACCCGGGTCCAACTCACGCACCCTCTGTCTATACCCCATTAGCAGTGCAACAAAATTCAACCTCAACATTCTTCACACAAGTAAGTGTCTTTTGATAGATCTTTAAGTGCTGATTTTAAAATTTCTATTTAAACTGTCATAAATACAAATGCATCTTAACACAAATCTAAACAGTTTTTTTTTTTGTTAACAGCAATGTGAACTCTCAAACTATTCCAGTTAAGTAACTTTTAAAAAATCATGCTCACTGATTTCAGATTTGCTTTATGTTATTTTGAAGGGGAGAGAAAGATACAGTGGGTTAGGAAAATAATTAAAATAAGAGGGAACAAACAAGCATAATTTAATTTCCTGCACGTCCAGAAGTCTACCCATTAACCTTTTATCCACCACTACATAGTCCAATATACTATTGTCACTACGCCCTATAACATATCTCGTATACTTATTTACCCCCTTTTTCTTTTTTACTTAAAATATGTATCACTTATTACCAAACCTCTGTCTATATGTATAAAGTTCAATCAAAAGGCCCCATTATCATTTACCCCTGGCACTCAAGCTTACATACTATGCCCTCTACAGCAGTTGCTCCCACTTTAGCACTTAGGTCCCCCACTGCAATTACTCTCACTTGGTTCAAAACTCCTTAAACATCTCCCAAAATCTCTCTCTTCTCTAGGTGCATAAACACTTATTTTTACCCACTTTTTTTTTGTATCCGACCCAACATAATCTGTGAATTTGTTGTACCTCCTCCCAACAACCTTTCCTAAAACAACCCCTACCCCTCCTTTCCTCTTCAGATTTATACACCCTCCAGGTCATCCTATTTTTCTCCATCCTCTCTAAATGCTTAAACCACAGTACCCAGTACTTTTGTCACACAGACCCCAGAATAAGTATGTGCATGTATTTATAACAGCAACACAAGTTTACCTATTAACCCTTTGACTGTCGAAACCCCCAATCCTGAGGTGTCGCAAAATTTAAAAAAAAAAAAAAATTTTTTTTTTTCTTATAAAATGAAGAGAATTTTTTCCCCCCATTGTAATGACCCCCAAAAAAAAGAAATTTGAGGGAAAACTGACGGAATTAGCCTCGCAAGTTAGCGACCTCGGCGCTGTTTACAAATTGGCGATTTTGCCCACTTTGAGCCCTTTTTTTGGGAAATTCCATGTTTCCAGTCGCCAAACTCATAGCTTTTTCTTTGCCCTTTCCATTTTTCTATCGATTGGACAAAAACTGCCCATTTACGATTTCAACTACCTAATAATGTGGTCAAAATTTGCAATTTGGCCAATTTCCGAAAACAAAAAAATATTACCAATTTTAAAAATAAGGCCAGAATGACAATGCGACTTCCTGGCTCTAAAATAACATTTTCTTTCTCACAGTCTTCTCTGGGCCCCTTATATACTCTTCTTTCTTTTTGAATTTTTTTTCAAAAAAAAAATAGAAACTTACTATTACAGACTACTGAAATACTGTAATAATTGTATAAAAAAACATAAACCCATTCATGACTGCATATTAAATGGCTATTGGACTTTTATTGGACAAGGGCATCATTTGTTTACTTTGAACATTGGCAAAAATCAAACTTTTTCTCCTACTTTGAGCTCCTTTTCTGGGTGTTTTTTTATAGTAAAATAAATAAAAACACCTCGATTTCTATAATATGTTTTTCCTTTCTATCAAATGAGACCAAGAAAACGAGAATACAACCAAAAATACTAAGGGAAAATAGACCACAAAGCGGCATTTTAATTAAAAAAACGGCAGTTTTTTTTTTTTTTCATTATGCCTGCGTGCCCAGGATTTTTTTTTTTTAAAAGGTGCACACTGACCACCAACCCATTCTCTCATATGTGGGCCTACCGCTTTCTCCTGCTTGATTTGAAGCCCTAAATTTAGAGATATATACGTCAAACACGGCATCTTTTGACTAATTACGGCCCACAGTCAAAGGGTTAAAACTGTCAATGCAAAATGTCAACTCATTGTGCCTTTTTTTCATATCCTGTATACTTATCCTCTTTTCATCAAAAAATATTACCTATTGTAAAAAACTATCACAACAACTCAATTAGGGCCCCCCTATTTTCATTTATCTTTGGTACTTCAAAATTTCATATTACACCACTACAACTTCTCACCCACTTTAACGTTTAGGTCCCTTCAACAGTTTTCCCCACTTGGCTCAAAACGCCTTAAACCCTTTTTGGTCCTGCAGTAGTTTTACACTTTGAAGCCCGCGTCAGCTGTATTCTAGGGAAAACCAGTAAACTTAGCATAAATTTGGGCCCAGATAGAGGAATGGGTTGATCAGAAGTGGACCAAAAACCATCCTGCGCACACAGTGCATAATAAAAAAACTGAGACCGTTTTTTTTTTTAAAACAGCAAATTTGCGGGTATTTTTTGTATGGTTTTTTATGGGTTTACTTCTCAGTTTTTTTGGCCATTTGACAGAAGGAAGATACATTACAGAAAGAGATGATTTTTGATAGGTTTAGGGGCTAATTATTATATTTAATCAAAAAGAAGCGCTAAGCCCCAAGGGCTATAAGCCGCAGGGTAGGGTGGGAAACAAGGGAAAATTTGGGTCAGAAGGGAGGGGGGGGGAAACAGCAGTTTCAGAAACACGGGCAGGGGATGTACGGGGGGAGAGGGAGCAAGAATACAAATAAAAAGGGTTTTAAAATATCAAATTTGGAATAAGTCAGTTCCTTGTCAAAAAGTCAATGAGAGAGTCCGGATGAAAGGTGGGTCCATCACGAAAGGAAGGTAAAGAGAGAGCCGGGGGGGAAACACGACAGAGGGAAATTTTTGCGTGCTCGTTTGATAAAGTGGGGAGTCCAACAGAATGGGCTGACTGATAAGGAGCTTGCAATTCTCACGAGAGGAGCAAGACGCCTCTCCATGAGATATCCATGAGTAAGACGAGTAGCCAATGCGAAGACGGAGAGGTAGTCTCCCAACCTCGACACGGGTGTAAAAAAAACGGCCATAACCTATACCGGGTTTAATAACAAAGTTTTGTTCCCGACATAAGACCAACTTTTTCCAAACGGGGTGAAGGGGAAGATATTAAGCAAAATACCGACATGAATACCTCTATAAAAACTGGAGGTCATGTACCGCCCGCGCAGCATTCCCGTTTCTTCCCTGTACGTCAACAAGACCGGGGCCCAAACAAAAACAATACTTTATGCTTAGTAAAATGGGGCGTAGCCAAAGTTGGAACGGAGGACAAGGGGTGGGGTGATAAATTTTTTTGTATACCTAAAAAGCACAAGGGGAGTCTGAGACAACCAAAATGAGACACAGGCATAGATGCAAACGGATAATCTGAAAGGATAGCTTAAAATTCAGCAGAAAAAAATACTAGCTAAGATAGTAAATGCCCTTGACGACCTGTCCGGAAACACTCTCGAACCCCAAGCCGTCAGAAGACTTAAGCCATCTGTGTACACAGCAAGGGCATGAGAATAAAGGTGAAAGTGGTCAAGAAAAAGGACGGGAAGCGCCGTAACAGGGGGCTTTCGAGCAAGGGAGGGAAAAGAACAGACTCGAACAGCTGGAACTTCCCAGGGGGTAGGAAAAGTGAGATGCACATGACATAGAAAGGGGGTATTAAGAAAAAGACAAAGCGAATAAAGGGCGAAGAGAGAAGGGAGGGTAACAGGGGGCGGCGAAAAATAAAGAATGTCACTAATATCATGACCATTCTATAAAGGGAAGGATTGCGAGATCATGAGAGCGTACAATAGCGCAGGCAATGGGCATGGGCGAGGGATAAGGAGGGAAACGTTCGCTTCTGCATAAGGCTTTCGACGGGGGAAAGCGAAAAGCCCCAAGGCAAAAACGTAATCCTGGTGAAAAGGGGGTTAAGGCTAGAGAGAGTAGCAGGAATCCCCCGAATAGATCTGGTCACCAAATAAAGTTTCATAAAATAAGGGTGAATTAGGTGAAGGGGGTTCGACGATCATTTCCCCCACGAAAGTGAAAAGGGGTTTTAAAAAGGTTCAGCCGGCGTGACAAGTTTTTTAGAGGGGTAATGTGAGGTTTCCAGAAAACCCCACACCAAAGAGGGGGCCCCCAGAAACTTGACTGTATCACGTTCAGGATACGTGAGCCATGGGGTAAAAAGGGGATGACAAGATGGCAGAGCGTCTAGTGAAAGTGTTTGGTGGGTTTTAGTGCGGGAAAAATTTAAACCCATTGTGGGGGCCCCAAATTGGGAAACAGGGTCACTGCATGCTGGAGAAACTGTAAGGAGGTGACAGTCAGGCCTGCACGGGCAATAGCGAAGTCATCAACATAAGTGATGACCAAATATTTATGGAAGACTAAGCCAAATCATTAATAAAAGGGAAAAAAGTGTTTGGCCAAACACTCCCGGGGGGACACCTTCAGCTTACAAAGCCCGGGGAAGGCACATTATTAACCCAACACGAATCCCTGTCAGTTAAAAATTTTTAAGGAAGGAGGGTAGATTGCCTCGAAGGCCAAAGGAGGCTTGGCAAAAATTATACCCCCAAGTTGTTCATATCCTTCCAAGGTCAAAAAATATGGCAAAACGAGGGGGAATCGAAAAGGCATTACGAACAACGTATCCAAGCCAGTAAGGGTCTAGGTAGAACGCCCCCTTACGAAACCAATTGACAGGGGAGAGACTTTTGTGTTCCTAAATCCCACCTAAACGTCTATTTACTAGACTCCATTAGCAAACGCACTGGAAAGAGCAAGGGGAGGGTAGTGGGAGGCATGCCCGGTGGGGTTTGCGGAAAGGGGAAACAAGGGGGTTTTCCCCAGCTGGGAAAACTCCTTGTGACCAAAAAAAATTTGAAAAGGCTAATAGGACTGAAAGGGGCTGACTATGAAATGTTGTAGCAAAATATGAAAGTCGTCGGGCCCACTGCCGAGACCGACAAGCGAGAGTGTTGCTCCATTCTTGAATTAAAAAAGGCACATTATACTGTTCTTCTCTGAGAGAAGAAAAGCCCAAAGGGGCTAACCTCGGGCAGACTTTGGGAAAAAATGGGGGGGCATAGTACCCTGAGAAATACGGACCA